TGAGAGCAAGCGCACAGTATTCTGTTTTTCTCAATAGTCAAGTTTAGCAAGCCTAAGAAGATCCCTAGACTATCCCCGGTCCACCCTAGACCAAACTAATCTCGCAGTAGCACATTCCCTGATTTTCCGCCAGCATTCGCTGAGTTGACCCGGGGTCCATCGTTCCAAGAGAAGGCCACAACTTAATAGCCAAGGCAACTTCCACTCTCTCTTTCCTAGGCGATATTACCTCCACGGTGCCATCTCTGACCAGTTCATTAGCCACACAATTTCCTGCGACATCACTATGGCCTGGCACCCACAAACAAGTCCGAGAAGATAATATTCCGACGCGAACGGAAGTGAATTAAGGTATTGGTCTATTACACGGGCACCTTGTTTGCACCACCCTTTAGTGCCCCAGTGTGAAAAACTCTTGCATGTTTTCCAACTATATACCCATTTACATAGATGATCATGGTAATGACGATTCAATGACCGTATTGGAAGAGCTAGAACAAATCGACGACGACTGCGATAAACATGGAATTCAATTTGTAAAAATTGATGATTCCAAATCCGCAGCGGACTATGGAATCGATTCGGTAATATATGAAGCATTAGATTTTGGGCGTGTTATATGTAGTTAGTATTATTTCAACTCACTTTTTCCCAATACGCCCACACGCGCACACCCCCTACAGATTCCGGCAATAGTTTATTTCGAAAAACAAATTCCAAATATTTATGATGGCGATCTCATGGCTGAGGAGCAGATATTGCATTGGCTGGTGGGACAGCTGGAGCACGACGAAATCGAAGATGTTACCGATGAGATGCTCGACAAGATGGTGAAGGAAGGACGCGTTATGGCGGTGTTATTCTGTAATTATACTAGATACCTTATACCCTCATCCCTTTATCAACATGGCAAAATTGTTGTTTAATCGATTGTTTTTTAGATGATAACAATGATAAAAAATCGCAAAAAGTACTCGAAGAATTAGAGAACATCGATGATGAATGCGATGCGTTGGGCGTTACTTTTGTGAAAATCGACAATCCTGAAGAGGCCATCGAATACGGCATAAACAAAGTTCCTAAATTAATTTACTTTGAAAAAGGCATTCCAACCATTTACGAGGGCAATCTTGAGGATGAAGAGAAATTGCTGAAATGGCTCGAAGAGCAAACAACATCCGATCAAATTGAGGATATTACCGATGAAATGATGGATTTGATAATTGAGAAGATGCCCTATGTAGCTGTGCTCTATTGTAAGTTGACGTTAGAGTGGGTGTAGTGTATGTATGTACATACATATGTACATACTAAATACTTGATTATGGCAAATCGGCTGAAGCTATAGTCAGCATACTATGGTGGATGTGAAGGCATGATTTGCAATATGTATCAAAAACAAGCGGAACTTGTACATAATGTAGATAAGAATGAATGTGCATACATATGTGCATGTGTCTGTGGTTATTAGATGTCTGTGTGTGTAGCGTGAAAATGATGTTTTGTAAAGCTGTTTTGAATTTATTTTGTTTGACAAGGAGCTAATTTCTACACTATGTTTAATTGATTGTTGTAAAACTTTCGGCGCATTTGAAGAATTATTATGTGTAACGCTAATCGCGTGCTCAGCTTTATAAATAAATTAAGGCTTTCTATTAGGGCTCTTAAAATTATTCGAATAACTCGATTATTCGAATATTCGAACGTCCGATCGCCAATCGTTTGTACGATTTTCAATCGAATGTTAATATTCGAATAGTTGATTCTCTTCGATTATTCGAATAGTTGATACGATTGTTCGAACACCTTATTAAAATCGAATATTCGATCGTTGGTATAAGCGTTATTGTCAAACAAAAGAACGATGACACCCGCTTCTCTGAGCTGTTGGATTCGTTTACCAATTTGATACAAAACAAAAAATAAATATTCCGTTCATGGCGCTTTTCTCGTATGTAGCTAATAGAATTTTAAAGTCCATTTTAAGCTTTGATGGTATTATCACATTTGAAATACAAACAAGTAATTTTTAGCAAAAAAAAACCGACTTAAAAAAAATATATTTATATCTATATATTTCATGATCCAATGATCGGATCTAAACCAAATTAGTATGGGACCACCTCTGAGACACTACCTTTCCGTTGCAAAAATTATTAATTATTGACATCGGTTGACGTGGTGCAAAGTTATGCGGTAACATACATATAAAAAAAAATAAAAATATTCCGACGCACTGATAACCTTCTCCTGTTTTGGAAGTCGGTTAAAAAACAACATATTTTAGCTTGTGACGGGTGGGACGAGTCACTATTGAGGACACATACTAGTTCGTTAGTAAAATGAAAGATAATGGTTTGATGTGAATATTTATTTATTTCTTATAAGGGGACCTTGTTTGAACCATGCGTTAAAAAATAAAAAAAAACGTTGTAAAATGGGGAAAATAGTGAAAAATTAATCCATAGAAATTTATTTCTAAAGAATTTTTCTATCTGCTTTTTCACAGATTTAAACACAATCTCTGTAATAAATTTTTTTTAGCTGTGGTGCCGTCTTGGAACGTGGAACGACCCCTATTCATACGTTTCAATTTATTTAAATGTGTACGTATGTACACACATTCATATGTATACATATCTACATATATATCAATATTCGAATAATCCCGCACAGGTTATAATTCAAATAATTGACAACGAGCAATTATTCGAATATTTAATCGATGGTGGGCGATTATTCGAATATAGCTAATCGAATTTTACTATTCGAATGGCATCATATTCGAATAATTCGCATATTCGATTAATCGAATATCAAGAGCTCTGCTTTCGATGCCTCTTTAAAACACTATAATATATACATACCATGTATGTATGAATGGTATGTGTATTATACTATATATATATGTTCAAATAATAATAAAAGTCCACAAAGACGAGACAGATGCAAAGAGGCACATGCAAAAACTTAGCGTCAAATTCGTTGATCTGCAGTGATTTCTCGACGCGATTTCAGCATGGTTCAGCTTACGAATGATACTGAAACGCAATCATAGAATTTAACCCTTTCATGATCGGGTCTTTTTGACCCCTTCTAAAAACCACTCTTATGGAAATACATTAAAAATGGCAGTTGGAGAGTTAAAATTTTTGTTTCGAATATTATGATAAGCTAACAAAACAGCTCAAATAAATCTGTGGCGTCATATGTTGCTCTGTACATGCTATATACAGTGCCAGCCACTGGAATAGCGCACCCTTTTGATAATCTGTATTGAAAGGTTTCTTTTTGTTAACTTTATACTCATAGATTTTTTTTATGAAAATATACAATATTCTTTATACAAAAATTATAATATGTAATTCCACGAATTTTGATAAAAATTTCATACTTTTTAGAATCATTAAATTTGCACCTTAATTATTAAAATTTAATGGGCTGGCTATAAACTGATTACTCAAAGAACGTTGTTTTTTAATTATAAATTTTGATGCAAATTTGTTGTATAAAGTTTGAAAATCGGATTTACATGGTTTTTGTAACAGAATATGCCATATTTATGTAAAAAAATTAATGAATATTAAACAAAAGGAAAACTGTATATACTAAGAATCAAAAGGGGCGCTATTCATGTGATCGGAACTGTTTGTATGTAGAAAGCTGAAATGCAGATTCTTTGTTCTTTGTGAGATCTAATTCAGATAAACCATTTAATCAGACCTCTCGTTCTTGAATTTTGACATGGAATTTCTTTCCAAAGCAGATTCCCTTAGCATAGAGTCGGAGAATGCGCAAATTTCTAGACCTGGTATTTTGCCCAACTTAGTCTTTTATCCAGGGTAGCACCAAGATATTTAACTTCGTCAGAGTATTAAAGCACTGTCCCTCCAAGGGTAACCTTCTTTATACAAGGTTCGGTTTATACCTTCTCGTAAACGGTACGAGAGCAGCCTTTGCGGGTTTATATAGAGGCCCTCATTGGAACACCAGTTTGATACCAAGGGAAGCGCTGCACTCGAAACATCAGCTTGAGTACTGCCGAATTTTTCCGTAACCATAATACTCCGCGTACCAAAAAGCATCGTAACCACTTTCCTATAGTTTGATTAAGAGGCCATCCATTAACCACGACAGACCAGAGTATAAGAGAAAGAAAACCTCCTCTGTAGGTATCCACTTATTGCTCCGAGGTTCCCGGACGATGTTACATCACGCTCACGAAGAATGGTGTCGATGCACCTCTTTGGACCAGTGCTCTTGAGATAGAACCGTCACAGTATTATCAAAAGCCCCCTCGATGTACAAGAAGGCACTTAGAGCAACCTCCTTAAAATCGAGAGCTCTTTCGATTGTACTCGTCAGACAGTGCAAACTGTATATCTCATCCCTAATATGTGGGTCCAACATTTAGATTTTCTTCTAAGTATTCCAGTACCCCGGGCATAAGGACACTAAAACCCCAAAGCAGATAACCCCTGGTATTTCAGGCAGCTATTTAACTCGAGAAAACCCAATAATTAAAAAAGTGGATATAAGAGATAATTTGGTTTAAGTTCAATTCAATTTTGTTGAAAAATAACACTTTATATAGCTTTGCAATAAAATATAAAAAATGGCAATAACTGTGCATAAATACATCTGTGCTGTCTATGTATATTGGCTTTTGATTGAATTGCGCGTGTAAAACGTTATTGGCCGCTATTCTACATACTTAGTTGTCTAAAACCTAACCACTAATTTTCAGTAAAAGGCAATTGGAATATAATTCCGAAAGTGTAATTCTATAAGCAGAGATGGAAATTTAGATTAGGCATTTTATAAATTAATTTAAATAAATTAGTTCGCTCATCGTACTCTAGAAAAAGGAAAAAAACAAAAAACAAACAGAAGAATACTTAGTTTGTGTGTGTACATTTAGAAAATATTGATTTTTATTATGAATTTATACTCTTTATTCATCCATTTAATTATTCATGCTCTCCCTCCTACTCCCACAGACGACAAAGATCAAAAGAAATCGCAAAAGATTCTCGCCGAACTGGAGAATATCGATGATGAGTGCGATCAAAATGACATAGCTTTCGTTAAGATCGACGACGACAGTGAGGCCAAGGAGTGGGGTATCGATGAAATACCATCCATTGTATTCTTCGAACGTGGCATACCGCATATATACGAGGGTGATTTGATGAAAGAAGACGAGCTCTTGGGTTGGCTGGTACATCAGAAGCGACACTCGGAGATACCGGAAGTCACCGATGAAATGAAGGATAAACTGATTGAAAATACTGAACATTTGGCTGTTATTTTTTGTAAGTAAAAAATTCCCACTTATTTCTTAGTTTTAATTTTATGAATATTGAAGATATTGATGACTTATCTGCCACAATTAAGTTGTTACAAATGAGAGAATTTTTGACTTTTTAAAAGTATTGAGAAGGTTTTTAGATTATAATTACCTCGAACTTTCTGTCGCGTCCATTTCCTCCACTGTTTTGCCAATCAGCTTATTAAGCTAGGAGGCCATTCAATCAATTTTAACGGGATTTAAATCCGAGTAAGAACTACAGGCCAAAATGCTTTCGTATCTCCAACTTTTTTTGATATTATTACAGTATATTGACCCTAGCCAAGAGACTATAAGTTCCTTAAACTTCTGCAGCATTATAGGTCATCTAGGTCAGGAGATTTATAAACCTTTGGTCCTCCGATTATAACAAATATTAAATCATGCATGGAACGTCTTAGGTCCAACACATTCTCTCTTCCCATAGATGTATCTGAACTGATCTGATGTACAGTAAATTTGACCCTCATCAGTTCGATATGAATTGAAATTTTTTTGATTCCGATACACGGGAATATAGAAAAATGTCGTCTTAATATAAGAAAATGTGGCTTTAGTAATAAAACAGTGTAGTTTTCTTCAATTTAAATTTCCTTAATTGTTGATAAATTTCTGCACACGCATATTTTCAATTCCACACCAGACGACAAAGACGACAAGCAAGACATTCGCGTACTCAACGAATTGGAAAACATCGATGATGAACTGGAAAAGGAGGGTATCGTTATTGTGCGCATTGATAATGCCGCCGAGGCAAAGGAATACGGCTTGGATCACTTGCCCGCACTCATTTACTTCGAAAACAAGATACCAGCACTGTACGAAGGCGACTTAATGAATGAGGATGAAGTATTGGAATGGTTGATTTTACAAAAACGTACTGCCACCATTGAGGAAGTTACCGACGAAATTCTCACCGAGCTAATCAACGATCACGAATATGTTGTGGTATTCTTTACCGGCCCTTGCGAACCTGGCGAGAAGTGCGACAAAACTTTGAGTGCATTGGAGAGCATAGACGACGAATTAGATGAGGCTGGCATTATTTTTGTGACCACCGAGGATACAAATATCGCTAAGAAGCATAACATTAAAAACTATCC